ATTTTAATAGGTAAAAACGTTGATTTTGTCGACTTTACTATTGAAGCACCCGCATTTCATATTGAAGAATATTTTGAAAACATGGGGTGGGTGTCTGTAGCTACTCTAGAAGAACATAACATGCATATCCTAGCCTTATGAAAGAATTTTATAAAAATATAGTTATTACTCCTCTTTCGAATGAGATTTCATGTTTACTCGAAAATATTTGTATCACCTCAACAAAGCTCTCATTCATGAACTTCTTGAGCTTGAGCCGTGTGATATTCAAATTTTTCTTCATAAAACTCATCCTACTTTTGAAGGGTATAACCCTTTTGAGGCATGTCGAAGAGTTTTCGGAAATGATTTTGAAAACATCATAAAAATTAGTTTAAATCAACTAACACTTACATACAAAGTTTTAAAAAACATCATTACACATGTGATTTTTCCTCAAAAGAGTCATCGAGACGAAGTAATTTTTTTTTATCTTTTTATTCTTGATTTCTTTCTTGTTGGGCAAAAACTATATTTTCCAACTATCGTATTAGGTCTCATGAAACTTATGCATTCCTCATGTCATCTTAAAGATTTGTCTTATGGAATGCTTCTTACAAAAAATATTAAACATTTTGACATTCGACTACACGTTGAGACATTTGTTAAATTTCGCCCTACCGACACTATCAACATTCAAATCCTTAAACGAATGAAAATAGTAAAAGAACATGATCAATCGGTGGTGCACACAAAAGGGTTCGACCCCACATCGGGTCTATTGAATCTACGTTTTGAAGGCGATGAGGATGACGATGCTGATGATATACCGCAAGTTTCGCACCTTTCTCACGATGTTCATGCCTCTAGTGCTCCTCGTTCTTCGATTGGTGGTTTTACATTTATCGAGGATCAATACAATCTTCTCAATAGCCACATTGACTCTCTTACATCTTCGATTGATGGCCTTGGCGGGATGCTTCAAGAGTTGCAGGTTTAGCAGGCCACCATAGGAGCTCAACATGATGCTATTCAAGTACAACAGGCAAAAATGCAGGCCCAACAGAATGCCGTCTATGCTCACTTCTATGCACTTTTTCCTCCACCGCCTCCTCCGGAGTCGTAGTCCTCCACTTTATTGGACATCATTTTCTATGACTATTTCTTTTATGATCAACGCTAAGGTTATTATGATCCATATTTTGCCCTATGGTTTTTGCTTATGCTTTTTGTTTATGCCAAAAGGGGGAAATGCGTAAGATGATTATGCATACATGATTTGATAACATGCTTGGAATATATGAAAAGGAGAGAAAGAAGTAAAATCATTTATATTTTGAATGTATGATTAACAATTTGTAAAAGATAGGGAGAATGCGAATTGCATGATAAATTGATATCAAATGCTTAATCCTATTCTACAATTAATCTTGTTTGTCATAGGCAAAAGGGGGGAAATTGTTGACATTTGGTTCATCCTATGTTTCAATTATAACAAAGTATTTTTTATCTCTAGCTTTTACATTCAAGTCTTCATTGTTACATGTTATGAACTTCATGGAAATTGAGCATTCACAATCAAGCTTGGAAATAATCAAGCACTCACGACAAAAACAATCGGAGGCAAATCAAGCACTTGTGCCAAATTCAAAATCGAGCAACAAATCAAGCACTCACCGTAAATCAATTGAAGATATTAGAATTATATGTTTGAACTCACTTGTAAAGGTAAAACACTTCAATTCTTAGCAATGAATTACAACAAGCTCATAAGTTAAATTTTTATGCAATAAACTTTTCAAATAACTCTCTCATAATTATTTTCGATATGAAAAAATCTTCACTTGACTCTTAAAATCTTTACCAATGATATTTATTTGAAAAGACAAATGAATGTATACTTCAAGAATTTACACTTGCTTAAATAATCAAGAAAAGAAAACCAGAAATTTCGGGTTTGGCGGACGTCCGGTGGCTCCAACGGTCAAAATTCTTACCGTTCTGATTTTTGATGTACAATGGCTAGTTTCAGTCGTCCGATCAGTAGCAGACATCGAGTAGGGGTCATCCGGTTGGTCAGAACGTTTTACGTTTTGACCGTTATAAATACCACATCACTTTACATTCAATGTTACACATTCAAGAGCATTTAAGTGGAATATTTTTGAACAAAAAATGTATTGATTTCTCATTCCATTTATTATTAAATCATTTTAACTTTGGAAAAATTTTGATCAAATTAACTTTTGAAAATCATTCTACACATCAAAGGTTTCCATGCCTATCACTTGAGCTTCATTCATTGCTATTTATTAAAGTGTTAGCTTATTTCTCTCTTTGTACTTAATTGTGATCATATCATTTATTAAGAGGAGTTTCAATTTGTAAAATCAATTCTCTTTAAACTTGTGGGTTGTATTGATGTCCTGTAAAACTCATTGTTGTAAAAGAATGTAAAATTTAGTCAGTCTTTTAAGAAATTTTTTGTTTGGTTTAAAATAGGTCCCAAAACAATGGTATAAAAGATTTTAACTCTTTCATACAAAGTCTCAATTTCCAATAATCTGATTATGATCCCTGTTTATATTATAAAAGGGATGAAAAATCTAAATTTTTCTATTTACTTTTTTTTTATGTTGATGATATGCTTCTAGCTAGACATAACTCTTTGACATTAAATTCGAAAAAAGAAAAATTGAAGTCAGATTTTGAAATGAAAGATTTAGGTCATGCTAAAATAATTTTGGGATTGAAAATCAAAATCAAAAATCTTATATTGGAAAGGTTATTAGAAGGTTTTCATTACATGATTCTAAATTTGTGAGTTCACCTTTATCTGAATATGTGAAATTATCTGCCGGTCAATCACCAAAAATTGAAGAAGAATCTAAAAGGATGACAAATGTACCTTATGCTAATCCCGTTGGATCCATGATATATGTTTTGGTGTGCTCTAGACCTGATATTACATAGCTATGAGTGTGTTGATTATATTTATAAGTAATCCAGGTGAGCTTTATTCGGAAGCTATGAATTACCTAATTAAATACTTCACAGGTACATTGTATTTACGTCTTATATTGAAATCAGATAAAAATGGGTTTAATTTGAAAGGTTGTGTTGATTCTGACTTTGTTGTAAATTCATACGATAGGAAATCTACAACTGCATATGTATATGTCATATATGGAACATGCATTAGTTGAAAATCAAAACTTCAAAGATTAGTTGTATTATCTTCAACTGAAGCTAAATATATCGTTGCAACTGAGGCAGTTAAGGAAGGGCTATGGTTGAATGGATTATTGAATGAATTAGGATTTATAGAAAATGAGGTGGAGCTTTGCTTTGATAATCAAAGTGTTGTTTTCTTAAATAAAAATTCTATTTTTCATGATGGAACTAAACACATAGATTTTAAGTTTCATTTTATTAGAGATATAATTAAAAAGGGTGATACAAAACTAACTAAAATTCCTACCAAAGTAAATCCAGCTGATGCATATACAAAGCTAATACCATTGAATAAATTTAAAGATTTTGTCATAAGGGTGTTGTGACTCTAGGGTTCCTAGTCGATTCTCCCGTTCTTCTTCGTATTTTGTCTCTCTGTATGATTCATCCACTAGATGATTTCTCTACAAATTCTTAGTGAAAATTGGAGTTTTGAAAGGGAGTTAAAAGTAGTATATCTCTTATGTGAGTTGTTACTGGGATTGTTGTAAAGTGAGGAGAGATCTTTGTGCGCGAGAGTTGAGAACTATGGTGTTCTTCCTATAATCGAACATTTGCCTACATTTGAGGTTGTGCTAGTAGATTTGAGCTCAATTCTTATGGATGGTCAAAAGGGGATTAAGCATTAGAAGTGGTTACTGAACCTTCGGGACCTAAGGCCGAAAAATCTCCCGTGTTCTTTCTTTCTTTGTTGAATATTTTTCGTTTCTCGTTGAGTATGTTTATGTTTGAAACATTTCACAAATCTTGGACCAACAAATGCAATACCTCACAAGTGTAGAAAGAGATGTGGGCATGGACATAGTAATTGGTCCACTTGTGAGAGCAAATCATTAGTATGTTCAAGTAAAGATAGGAGTTCAATAAAGGACAACGAAGGTCGAGAAAGGTTTTTTTTTTTTAATCAACAACTTGACTCCTAACTTTTGATATTCACACCAAAAAATATATATTTTTAAATAGATCAATTTTTTTTTTAAATTAAAAGACAAGCCAAAATATCGAAATGAAAGTATGTTTTCAACATAGAAGAAATTAGTTCCCCATGAGACTCAAAAGAGCCCAACAATGTTCAAATCATCATCTACAAGATGAAATAGGTATGGTGTGAAAGAGTGGCAATTGATTTTATCAGAACAACTGATCCAATAAACAAGAGCAAAAAAAGACAAGGATTCTGAAAACACGAACAAAATATATATATATTTTTTTACTTTTTTTTCTTTTTTTTTTCCACTCTGCTTTTCTTTTCTTTCCCACCCCTTTTTCACTTTTTCTCACCTTCTTTTTCTGTTTTTTCGCTCGCTAAAAAGAGGAAAAAATTCCCACTCCTGATATGATTTTTTGTATATTGTGCTGCTCAAAGATTTTATTTTATTTTTATTTTTTTGTGTATTAAGGCGATTGTAGGGTTTGGATGAGTGGTGGACGGGTTCGGTGTGTGTATGGATTGGATGGAAATGGTTGGTTGATATTATTGAATTTGAGAAGGTCAAAGGAGAACGAATCACTTGATACCAAATTGTCGCATGAGCATATAATTTGTTAAAGAACAAAAGAAAGAACAAAAAAGGTCCAAAAAGAAAAGAATTGAGGGCAAAGAGAAATCAATTTTTATTCATATAATCAGGTTAACTATTACATTGAACAAACACTTCTTTCTCTAAAGCAAATAAACTAAGAAGTTAAAAGGAAACAAAATTTTAATAAACTATAATTGTATCAAAATATCAAATTTAATTAAAATTAAACTTTATTTTGATCTTCTATTTAAATTAGAACGCTCACTAATTTGATCCTTGCTCCACCAAAACACCTATGCTCTCCAAATTTGTACTCTGCTTCCGTTGCACAATATCAAGAAAAAAATCTGTCAAAAATGTCTCATATGAGGGCAGATTCGCATACCCTGGGAAGTAATTAATATCAATCACAAGATATCGGTTGCCAACCATACTGTCCCTTATCATATCAAAGTTGAAAAGGTTTAGTTTCAAAGCATGCTTCAACCCATTAGCTATTTCAGTCACAAAACTCGACGGTGGCATCTCAGCCTCCTCAATCAACTTAGCAACATTCTCATCACTCTGATCTTGAGCAATCAGATTCGATATCTGTGAGAATGGCAACAAATCCTCTGATGACACTGCGTATTCCGAAATATCAGGCAAGGACTTCCGTTTCACACATTTCACATGATCTCCAGCCACATAGACTTTGAAAATCAGTCCTCCATGGTTCACGAACTCCTGAAGTATAATTGGGGGTTTTAACCCTTTCAAACCCTCCTTATTAAAAACTAGGGCCATCTGATGAGAGTTGGCGCTCCCATTCGCAACCAATGGCTTTGCAATTACTGGAAACTTCAGCCCCTCTATTTCATAAAAGAATGCAAGATTGTCAACAAAAATCTGCTTCGGAATCCCAAACGAAATTTCAGGTTGTTGACAGATCTTTAGCTCGTTTACAACTTGGAGCATGGAAATTCGATTGTGAAGCCGGTCGATAGAGTCAAGTGGGTCGACGACGATAACATCGGGGTTCCGGGAAGAGAATTCTTGCAATTGTCTGCACCATTCTGGGCCGTAAAGCTTGTGGATGATGCAATGGTATGGGGCTTGATCGATTAATGGCTTGCTAAGGTCGATTTGAACCAGATCGATGCCTCGGTTCTTAGCGTGAATAATAAGTGAGGATTGAATGACAGTGTGCACTTTCTGTGGTTCCAATGCGTAGCCTATGCGATATCTGGTAACAGTTTCTTCTGCCATGGAATGGATGGAGAGAAATCACAGGAAACAGACAAATATTTTCTGAGCTTGGTTTTAAGGCGGGGATTTAGAAAGAAATTAGAAAGTACACACGTTACATTTATAGGGTTACGGCTGGAAGTTCATATCCTAGGTTCCAAAGTGAATGTTGGAAAAAGCATCGGGGAATTCTTTACCAAATATTAATACAGATACTGATACGGAGGAATCTGGTTCGCCTGTATTTTTCTCTCTTTTAGTGATTCCATGTCATGTGTTGTCTGTCAAAATTTTTTTCTGCTAAAACTTTCTGTACTTATAGCATGATTGGTGAATGTTTTGGAACAAAAAGAAAAGAGTAATGCTATTTTGTCTCATTGCGGTTATAACCCCAATGTATGTGGTGCTAATGTGAAATTAAATGGTAAGATCTAGCGGTGTCACGAGCCGAGTCTGGAAAAAAAAGCTCGGGCTCTTTTTGGACCGAGCCGAGCCGGGCCCGGCCAAAAAAAATGAGGCTCGACCCGAGCCTTAGCGGGCCGAGCCGACTCGATTTTTTTGATTTTTTTTTTCTTAGCAACCTTTGCAGGCAGCAAAAAATAGCTGCTTGCAGGCAGCAAGGCAGGCACAGCTGCCTGCNCCGATCCTCCGAGCTTTTTTGCCACCGCTAGTAAGATCATTTAATTTCACATTTCATTTATTCTATCACCTAATACTGCATAGACTGAGATTATAACTTTAGTGAGACTAAATAGCATATAGAAAAGGAAATTAAAGGTGGATTATATTCTCCAACTTTCCGTTGTGGAAGGCTGAAGATAAGCAAAAGTTATGTCATGTTATATTTACCATTTTCAAGTCGTTTTCTATTTTCAATTTCCAAAACAGTGAAAACGCGTTCTCTTTCCTATTTCGAAAACGTGTTTTTGAAAAAAACTTAAAAATTTACAAAGAAAACTCAAAATGACTTGTTTTGGGTGTTTTCAGTTATAATCAAGTCAAAATTTTCAAAACGCGTTTTTTGTGTTTTCAAAATGATTTCTCAAAATATAAAAAAGAACACATTTTCAACAATCTCAAAATGGACACTCAAAACACAAAAAGAACAACCCCTTATATTTTGAGTTGTTTGGGTTAAAGGATGCGGGGAACTTATGTAAGCCTCCAATTAGGTATCAATAAAAATCTAGATTTTAAGTCAAGTTAAAGTCAAAGTCAACAATTAATTTTAATAACATATTTTATGGATCACACAACTTTTCAATCACACATTTAAACTTTTATCAAAATCTATTTAAAAAAATCTAATTTTAATTAATCCCCTTCAAACAGGAGCTAAAATTGATAAAGTGATTTGCCTGTTTGGGACTGGTTAAATTAGAATTAAAAGTAAAAATATGACTGTTTGACACAATAAAATATGAGGAATTTGATGGTTGTACATGGCCACATGAGCATGTGGGCATGTACAACCCGCACTACTCTATCATTTGCTTATTCCATATACTCTGATTCGTTTCAGAAAAGTACTNGCACTACTCTATCATTTGCTTATTCCATATACTCTGATTCGTTTCAGAAAAGTACTATAGCCGCTAGTCATTGTCTAGGACAATTGCCGACAATGTCTTGAATTCATTTCATCCCTCAGTTGCATAATGGGGTATTATGGACTTTTAGAATATTTTGAAAGACATGTACCGTAAATAGAAAAATGGCATAACCGCTTTATCTTCAACATGTGTGGGACCCGTGAGTTTACACAAAAAATGATTTTCTTACCAAAAATTACTCCTAGATAAGGGGTTAAGTCAAATTCAATAATTAATTTTAGGGAAATGCTACGTGTACACTTCAAAATATTCGTGGGCCCCCTCCATATGAGGGGGATGTAAAACTGTGTGTACACCATGAGATATATACATAGCATTTTTCTTAATTTTAACCATATATTGTGTAAGTTACATAATTTTTCAACCACATATTTCATTAATTTTTTGTCAAAATTTACTAAAATTATTATTTTAATCCCCGCCAAACAAGATTATAATCTATGTGGATAAGTGAGAGATAGTCTGTTCATATTTGGTTCAATAAAAAATACGGATTAAAATTTAAATCAAAGTCAATAGTTAATTTTAACCATACATTTCTCGAGATCCACAATTTTTCAACTACAGATTCAATCAACTTTATCATAACCTACTAAAATTTTGATTTTTATCTAAACCAAACATGGGCTTAATATTTTTTTCCCATTTTGTCAATAATACCCTTGATCCATCTACTCAATTTGCATTATTTTGTTATATAAATTCATGAATTTTTTTTCAAATATTAATTCATTAATAATGTATGATTATTTTAAAAAAATCACTCCATTGTAAAACAGATGCATTACGCATGATGTAAATGAGAGATCACAATTCTCCAATTACTTGAATGAACGTTAAATCTCTTTTAGGCTTTAGCTCCAATTAAATAAAATGGGAATCTTTATTAAATGTTTAGATTATATAAAGTCGTATTGAATGAAATGGGAATCTTGTTTGCCTGGTGATTTTTTCATTGATTATATGTCTACACAATTTGCAATGAATAGTATGCAATAAAATCTATGATGCTAGGATGCTTAATTTGGTTGAGTTTCGTATGTAATGGTCAAGAATGAAAGGTCTCAAAAGTGGGTGGGGATCTTTTTTCTTCTAGGAATATAGTCAAAGCGTTTGACTCTCATTCTATTTGGTTAAGTCACATGTATTGACAATATAGACGTTAAAATTTACTCACTTTTCATCTCAAAGAATTCGAAAAGAATAATGTTATTCAACAAAATTGGTATTTAACACCATTCTAGGTGATTGCACTATGACATTTAATTACAAGTTCAATTAAATAAATTACATAATTTTATATTTAACTGAACCTATCACATAAACTGGTGCTAGATAGCATTATTCATTCAGAAAATATTAGACGATTTGAGGACTTTGCCCTCTAGTTTTTACATGTTAGTACAACATCCACGATGCTTATGTTTTATCATGTAAGGACCCAATATCTCACGAAACATTCAAGTAATGTTGAATTGTTTCACCTACCTATTTTATTTTGGAGAAAATTTATAGTGCTCTCCAAATATTGAAATTCAATTCTCTTACACTATTAAATAATGGGTCTCAATTATTTAATATGCCTGTCAACGAAGCAGTGACATGCACTCTATGTTCTGACATGACTAAAAATTTCTCCTTAACATTGTAAGATTAGGTCCCTATGTAATGGAAAACAACTATATCAATGTTAAAATTGCATGTGCCTTTAACTCGGATTAAAGGTGCAGTGCAAAACTGTCAAAACAGCTTAACATTTTCTAATTTTATCTTCTATATTGTCAATTTCTAGTACGTGAAATCTAATCTCACAGCTAAACAAGTTGGAGAATCAAATTTTCACTTTAGATAGTTGACGTTCCATTTTCGCACTACTGAAAGTTGAAAAGCATAAACCTAATCTTCTAAAAAGTATAATACTAATAACTTCAGAAGAAAATAAATTTTTGGCATTAACGTGTCTTGGTCACTCTGTGAGGCACTTTATATATGCCTTAACCATGCTTCAATTAAGTGAGAAGAATACGATTCTTCATACAAGCCCCCAAATCATCCACCACGTGTTAGATGATGGGGTCCGAAGCCTGAATTCATCCGCCACGTGATGGACGAACTGAATTCATCTGTTAAGTGGTTGATGCTAACCAGAGCACGACTACAATTCCTGCCACAAACCATTCCACTTCGTCCCTATGTACAAGGAGATCTTTTATGTAAAGATTCTCAAAATCAATTCCTTAGATTGATTGATGGGACACCTATGCGGTAGACTCCAAAATGTCAAGTCAAGCATTACAATGTCAGAAAGCTAATATCGGTTTGCCTATGGATTGACAGATTGACGCCTATGAAAGAATGATACGTCCAGGATCCGAAGCCATGTGTTCTACATCCAACGGTTCCCCTCTCACCCCCTCTTATTATAAATATTCACACTTGTACCATTGGAGGGGATCAATTTTCCTTTCCTCTTAAAAAAATATAACACTAGCTTTTTGCATGATCCTTGTCCCCACACATTTATATTGATAGTCACATTCTGGTGATCATCGCCACCACCGGACATCTCAACTCTGATATACCAACTGACTTGACCATCAGAGTGCTCGGACTACTTCCATCCTCAGTGCAGGGAGAAGCTTACATGGAGTTACATCCTTTTGCCCGCGTATCAGGGTCAATTTTAGGGGTCAACAGATTGACGCATTCTATTAAAAATGTTACTATAACCACGAATATCCTCTTAAAAAAAGGCTTGCTGAAATATCCAATTGGCCTCCCCCTTGAAAAATGATTTTTTTTCTTCAAGAAAGAACAAGTGGAAGCCCCAAGGAAGAGATTTGGAGTTTCATTGATAACCTACCTCTTCGAAGAAAAGAGTTTGTTAGCCCAAGACAATGAGTTCAAGCACCGAAAATATAAATTCAAGGAGAATAAGGGAGGTCTCTGAAGAAGAGATCCTCTGAACCAACATCACACACCAAAGGCCTTACCACCGTCATCGTCGGGGCGGAAAAACTGCTACGTGATTAACTGCTGAGGTGGCCATATGCCTACCAACATGAGAAGCATTGTAGCCCAAAATGTAGCTATGCACAAACTCCTCATGCAAGTCCATAATCAAATAGCTTTTCAAGTACCTCAGAGTACCCAACAATCAATCAACCTACGACCAATACCAGGCAAAGCAGGGCAGAGCCAGAGGACCCATTCTAGTCGGCAGAGAAGAGAGGCCCTTATTGAAAGGGAAGTGGGGGTAGATGTTTTCACCAACTACACCTCCAACCGCCCTGCCATTGACGCTCAAATCGGAGGGGATAACTTCTCCCTCAACTGTGAAGTGTAACCTCAAATGTTCGTGAGTGTGTTGGATTGAATTAGACGAATGCTTAGAAATAGGAACCAATC